CCCCCGTGGGGGGGCAAGCGGCGGACCGAGCCTATGAGGGTCGACCGCCGCCTCGCAGCTCCTCCTCCGCTCAGTGGAAGGGGGCCCGCCTTTTCCTGTGAGGCGGCGCGGCCTTTCCCTGTCACGCCACCGGCGCGGCCTGCTCCGATGCCCTCCCTCTGGAAAAGCTGTGCCGTGCTTCTCGAGTAACCGGCTTTTCCTGTCCCGAGACTCGCCGTGTTATCCTAGACACATCTGCTCCGGAGTAAGTGCCGTTGAGTTCTGTGGGGTTTACTCCCGGGCAGATTGTGCAGAATTGCACCCTCACTTCGCATCACGTTTTCAAAAAGATCAGCCTCAGTGGAGCTTTCCTTTCTGATTTTTGTCCTCTCCTGATTCGCGTGATTTATCCCAAAGATGAATCCCTCAGAAGGAATTTTGCTGTCGTTTGCAAGGTCTGCCTTCAGGGAAAATGCTCCACAACTGAAATCGTAGATCTGCTTACTCGGCAGTTACTCCCATTGTTTCCTAGTAAATGAGCATTTGAGTCACATCGTTTCCTCTTGTCGTCGCCGACAGCTTTTCGAAGTCCAACAAAGCCAGAAGTTCCCCGTTTGCAAAGAAAAAGGAACTCTGGACGGTACTCACCGAGAGGCACCCCCACTTTTTAATGCAACAGTTTTTGTAAACCATATCAGTGGAAACCCTCGTCGTTGTTTAGTTGTGTCTGACTCTGTGACCCCATGGACCAGAGCATGCCAGGCCCTCCTGTCTTCCACTGCCTCCCGGAGCTGAGTCAAATTCATGTTGGTAGCTTCGATGATGCTGTCCAACCATCTCGTCCTCTGTCGTCCCCTTCTCCTCTTGCCTTCAAACTTTCCCAAGATCAGGGTCTTTTCCGGGGAGTCTTCTCATGAGATGGCCAAAGTATTGGAGCCTAAATATTGCCAAATTCTTATTTAAAAATATTATTTTTTGGGATCAGCAGAACTGACAGTATTTGATCCAGATTCCGATATGTGCAACTGAGGTAGTGTGGAGACAAACTCCCCAGCCTTTTTTTACAGTGGCATCCACTCCAGCTCCTTGGAAAGGTTACACATGCTGCAGACTCTCCTGAATGGGGTGTATTGTGTGTGGGGTTGGGAAGAATCCACTAAAATCATAAGGACTTTCCGCATTCATAGCTTTCTGAGTGACAGGTGGATCTTAAATCCATTCTGGTGGCTGACAATTTCAGACCTTGATCCCTGAAAACTAGGACACTTCTGTGGCACTAGCATGCCAATATCATTGTTTTGGTTTAGACTTGCTAATCAAATTATTGGTATTGTTTTTTTACCAAACTTTCCAGTTTTTTTTAATCAAAAGCGTTTTAACTATGGGGTGTGTTTTTCTCACAATCCCAGGTGCTCCCTTAATTTAAAATTTATATTTTTTGTGAGGCAAGATGCTATTACTCTGCCATGCCTTTTATTTGTCCTAGGTGCATTCATGTTGTAAATCTTTGCACATGAAGCTCCCACTGCATGCATTTGAAATATGTACTTTGCATTGAAATATGTATTTTGCATTGATGCTGATAAGAAAAGAGCAACACAGGGGCAGCAAATGCATACCTTTGTAATGTCTGTGGTCAAATACAAATCTTAGATGGAGCTATCAAAGCCACTAGTCATTTTACTATCAGTTACTTCATTCCTATTGTCATATCACAAATGTAAAAAGAAAAGACACTTTGTAGCATTCTATCATATACATGCCACATAATATTAGACAGGCTTAATTACGTTTCAAAGTTGGCCTTAATACACCAGCCGTTCTAGGGATGATTTCTTTCACAAATTTAAAAACATGTGCAAGAAAAATAAGAAATGTTTATTACGCCCTTTACCTGTAGTTTGCAAACCACATGAGGTCTCTGATGTGGTTGCCATCAATTTTTGTTTAGAAAATGTGAAATATCTTCAACCGTCTTGTCAAAACTTGAGTACACAATGCTAAAATTATAGAATTTTTGATAATAGACCACCAATTTATCCAATACATATTTTAATAGAACTGATCCTGATGATGTTAGTAGATCTAATTCCCAGGAATTCTGCGCTAGATTAATTGCATAGTCATATTCTTTAAAGTACTTTAATCAGACCCATTGTAAGATAACTATCTCAGGGTTTATTAGCAGTTTGGTAGTATAGAATTGTACAAGACTTGCAGCAGGACTGAATTTAACCCAGTATGTTGTTTACATGATCTGCCTCTGTGTATACCACTGACGCAAAGTGGTCTGACTGAAACTGATAAGTATGAGATGACAGACATTTCTAATCTATTAACTTGTTTGTAATCTGATGCAGTAGTGACAAGATGACTCAACGGGTGTGCCAGTGTGCGCATCAATCTGCATCTATCACAAACAGAATATTTTGCAACCTGATTTATGGGGTCATCTGTTGGTGAAAATGTAAATTGCCAAAAAGAAAATCATGATTCAGTTATATGAGCTTATTGTCATTTTGGTTTTAAATCTGAGGGCTACAAGAACTTTGGCTCATTCAGTCCCATAAAAAAGGAATTCCCTGTATAGTTGTCGAATGTAGCCTACAGTGATAAATGTTGATAACGTTGCAGAATAATATTATGGTGTCAGACCCTACCAAGAATATATCAGCAACAATTTTTGTTACTAATGTTTGGACTTACATACCACTCCATACTGCTAAGGCACTCTCTGGGCAGTTTGCAACATAATTGTACAAACACCAACTTGCCACCCAGCAAGCTGGGTATTCATTTTACCTACCTTGGAAGGATGGAAGGCAGAGTTAACCCTGAACCTGCTGTCTGAACCTGTCAGAATCAAATTCAGATTGTGAGCATATGATGTGAACAACATCTCATATTTAAATCATTGTATGCTCTAAATCAGGCTTGTCCAACCTGCGGCCCGAGGGCCACATTCGGCCCAGGTTGGCTCATAATGCGGCCCAGTGCAATTTTTTATTTTTAAAGAAATTCCAAAGTTTCAAGTTACACTGCTGGTGCTTGCAGCCGGAATGCGGCTGGGGCACATCACAACTGTAGGGGAGGAGAGAGGGAAGGAAGGAGCAGGAGGCGAGAGGGGGGCTGCATGACTGCATCGCGCCGTCCCTGTCAATAGGTGGACCCCCTCCCGGCCCCATAAAGCCAGCAGAGTCAAAGCTGGCAGCCTCTGCTGAGATTGCAGCTGCCGGTAAGCGTGCTTGGAGCGGGGCTGTGGAGGATGGCTGGGGCTGCCCCCGCCATGCGGCCCAAACCAAATTTTCATCTAATGTGGCCCAGGGAAGGTGAAAGCTTGGACACCCCTGCTCTAAATGATAAATGACAAACCACAGCATGTGAGGATTTTTTTCTTGTTCCGTTGAATGCTCCATTCATACATCACTTTCTTATGTTCTAGTTTTTATACTTTTTTATGATTCCCGTAGAAGGAATGGAGTAGCCGTCATATTTTTATACTTTTTTATGATTTATAGGCTACTTTTCTTTGTTCTTTTTAGTCTCCAGAAGTATTTAATGGCATAATATAGTATTTTAAAAAATTGAAACATCTTTTAATTTTATAATCAACACAGTTCTGAACACTGAAGGACCAGTGGGAAAAAAGTGTGACCTTTTTTTCTTATCTTTCTTGTAAAGGATTAATGAGACTAGTAAGAACTTACCACGGAAGCCTAATTGTCTGTAAATTCAACCTAACCTCTAATGGCACCACAAGAAGGATTAGGCTGCAGTCATAAACACACCAGAGAGTAAGCAGCATTCAGTACAGTAGGACTTATTTCTGAATAAATCTGCACTTCACACTAGTCTTGTCACTATTTTTCTGGAAATAAACCCCATTGTGCTCCATGTGATATACTTATATATAGGCAGAACAGATTTAGGGAAGTTCTGGGGCAATGGGAAGAAGGGTAGCTCCTGAGAATTGGTCTCCTAACCTTTCTACTGATGGTAACCTTCAATTGACAGAGAGTAACTAGTTGAATTATGCCTGTTATAGTTGCACACTCCATATAGTTGGTTCTCGTTGCCAACATGGTTGTCATATTCTAGATAAGCTAAAATTTCCAAACTTTTTAAAATAACATGTTGCAGTTGGGATTACCAGGGTATGTATAACTATAGCCAATTATATATCTTGAAAAGTACACAATTAAGAGTGTGTTTGTGTATATGAGTTGACTGTGGAGATTGAACATGCATAATATCAGCCTTCTTTATGCTCCCCCACCCTACCCCATATGTATTCAACTCTCATTATTCCCAGCTGGCTTGACTATTGGGTGGAGACCATGGAAGCTGTAGTCAAACGTATTTGGAGGTCACTGAATTGGTGAAAGCCGTACTAAGCATGTGTACGTAGCACTTTCTGCTTCTCCATATTGAGGCATCTTCCAAGGTGGTTGTTAGAATGTTTCAGAGATTAAAATTGTTGAAAGGGGTGTACCTGTTTCTGGAATTTGATAGTGAAAACCTTGACAAATATACAGTAGATACTGCTCAAGTAACCATAGCTTCTCTACCTTGCCATTTCCAGGATGGAGGAGCAGACAAAAGGAAAGCAGAAGAAAAATGTGTTTAAAAAATTGAATAGCCTGTTTATTTTGCAATTGGTGCTCATTTGATTACCGTAATTTTTAAAAAGCAGGATATAACAAACTTACAGTGATAGTTGCCATTATCATGGGTTTCTTTGTTTTATCGTTCAAGATCCTGTGGTGCTTTTAAGACCCATAACCCTGGTTAACAGAAGAAGCAAGCATTCAGATATGCCAAAGTATAGGACTTTGAGTCAGGAATTTGAGCTGCTGTCCCACAATCTTGTGGTATAACCTTTGGCAAATATTAAGTAAGAAAAGTTATTTGAAGAAACTCAGGGAAGAAAACACTGTGAAACTGCTGGTGATGCCATTTTTTCAACAAACAAAGGCCTGA